GGTGGCTGGGGAATAAACGGAGAAGGTGAAGAGAAACGTGGGCTGAGCTGTAGACTTTTGCTGGTCCGGAGGGTGCCGCCACTTTGAATGTTTAAAAGTGGCTTGACTATTTTGGATATTTGAAGAGACAGTGCTCTCACAGATTCCTGGGGCTTAAGAATACATTCTGCTTGCCAGCAACCCCAAGGACACTCTGGACCTGCAAGACTGAAAAGGTACCACATTCCTCTTGTTACTCTTATACCCCACAACTGCTTGGTGAATGGAGGTGCGGCCATCCCCCACTCCCACCTACCTTCTAGCCCCACAGGAACTCCATCACAGTCTGTGAGCTCAGACAGAGCCTGGGTGCCCTGCCCTGTCCTCCACCAATTTTGTTTTCTCTTTTTCTCTTTTTATTTTTTTCTTTTTCACTTTCTTTTTTCTGGTGATTAGTTTGCTTGCATTTGTCTGTTTTAAAACAACTATTATTATTAATACTTTTGTCCTTTTTACTACTATTCTTATTTTTCCCCTCCCAGGTCCTAGTTTTCAGCTTTTCTTCTTTTCCCTGTTCCTGGTTGAAAATTCAGCAACCCCCCTTTTTTTCTCATGGCTAGCCCTGTTCCTTGTTTTTGTTTTTGCATTTTTCCCATTTTTTTCCTTCATTATGCTCATTCTCTACCTTTTTTCTCTTAGTGCCCTATCCCCAGATATTGCAGGTTTTCTTGTTTTTTCTTCTTCTTTTTTCTTTTTTTGGTTACTGTTCCTGTGTGATTATGTGGTGTGTTTTTTGTCCACGTGCTTTTAGTTTTTTGATGGTTATTCAATTGTAATTTGTGTCTGATGGAGTGGGAGACAACAACAGTCCCCATAAGACACAACTACACCCACACCTCCTGCAACTTCACTTACTGAGCGAGAGCCACTACCTCCTTCTCCACCAATGGGCCAATGATAAAAAACCACCAAGAAGAGCCTGAATCACCCTTGGCTTCTCTTCACAAACAGTTAACAGAGATCTAAATACAA